GTTTGAAAATTATTTGGAAAAACTTCATATTCTATATTTTGGAAAATATTCTTTGTTAAGTTACTACAAGATTTTCTTAAAATAGAAGAATTAATTCAAAATGTGAAGTCTTTCTTTTTCACTGAAGCATATTATTGTTTGGATTTTTAAAATCAAACCCCATTGAATGAAAAATAATAATAATAGTTTTCCAATCATATACAAGAATGAATCATTATTATGCTCATGAAGTAGTTATGATTTCATTTTTATTTTAAAATTTGGCCACAGTAGTTTGAAAGCTCCATCATTAAACAATTGTGATCAAGGATGATATGCTTCATATACATCCTTAAAAGATTTATTTATTATTTATTATTTAAAACATTATGGTGACACTTGAATAGACAATAAAATACTTTTTGTATTTAAAAGTACATTTCAAACGACAAATCCCCAATTATCCAGCATGAGAAGGTGCTATTAGCCTGTTTGTCAAATATGTCTATGTTCCAGTACAACATTGTTTCATATTAATTCACATTCAAAACACATTTTTCTTCTGAACTTGCAATAAACGAACTAACTATAGTGTATAACCTTCATACAAACTGTGTTTGGAAATAGTAAAAACATAATAAATTTGAGGTTATTCTCTATATCTTGCAAATTATCTTGTGATACTATTTTATCTTTATCAAGTGCAAAATGGGTCATAACAATGGTACATCATATCTTCTAGCTTCACATCATTTCAACATCATCAATTGTGGTCAAAGAATGAAACTATGAGTTGACCATGTATCAATCAAATAAAATAAAAGTGCAATATAACGTCAATGTTTACCAATAAAATATATAGAGAGAGAGAGAGCTTTGGGAGAAGCACAAGCCGTATTTCAATGACATTGGATCACGAGCATCCCCTTTGTTGGGAATACATCCATGGATGAATACGATTCATACATCAATGTGACCACTTCATCACTCATTCATCCATCACTGCTTTCACGATAACAAGTGCTCCCTGGATACGGTGGCTGGGGTTTCATTGGCTCGGAACTCGTATCCTTCCAGCTAGGACACTGACGTGGAGACCTTCCGGATGCCTGCGGATCTGCCACGTGGTCCAATCTCAGCCTTTCCCTCCTTCCCTCATGGCGCCAGGACAATGGATCTTATTTGTGGATGGCTCATCCCTACTGCTTGCGCTATCTGGATGAGGCGTTTATTCATTTCTTCATCGTTGTTTAAATGTGTTTTTATATAATTTTTATTCTTTGGTTAGTGTCTAGTTTTATGTCATCTAATATTTAGATCATATTACTATAAATTAGATGACATAAAATTCAGATCATATTACTATAAATTAGATGACATAAAATTCAGATCATATTACTATAAATTAGATGACATAAAATTCAGATCATATTACTATAAATTAGATGACATAAAATTCAGATCATATTACTATAAATTAGATGACATAAAATTCAGATCATATTACTATAAATTAGATGACATAAAATTCAGATCATATTACTATAAATTAGATGACATAAAATTCAGATCATATTACTATAAATTAGATGACATAAAATTCAGATCATATTACTATAAATTAGATGACATAAAATTCAGATCATATTACTATAAATTAGATGACATAAAATTCAGATCATATTACTATAAATTAGATGACATAAAATTCAGATCATATTACTATAAATTAGATGACATAAAATTCAGATCATATTACTATAAATTAGATGACATAAAATTCAGATCATATTACTATAAATTAGATGACATAAAATTCAGATCATATTACTATAATATTCTGGTTAGTGTCTAGTTTTATGTTCTGAATTCTTAATTTTTTGTATTTACATGATTTTTTAATTAAAAAAAATGTGTCTTAAGATTTATTTCTTATCATAATATTTAAAAAATTGTGGATTTTGATGGTGAATCTTACATTTTACATGACTTCAGTAGATAGTTATACAAACTATATGTATATATATATATATATATATATATAATCCAATTTGTGCAATTCTTTTAATGATCAAACTTCAAATTGCCACCAAAATTTTTAAACCTAAAAGATTAAATTAATAACATTGTCAATTTCAATGTATATAGATAGACATATAAATATTCCAGCATATTTAAAAATCTAACACTTCAACTTCAGCACAATTGTCAATTTTGTCAAACTTCCTTGAGGACCTCTTTGAGAAGTAAGTTGTTAAAACATAAACATGATGCTAAGACAAAAGATAGTTTAGTCTTTCCAATAAAAACTCTAGAATAATCTAAGTATTACCTTAGTCTAAAGTTATATATATATATATATATATATATATATATTTACTATAGAGATATTAAATATATATATATATATATATATATATATGTGTGTGTGTATAAATTTAAATATGAATATTGAAAATTAGTGTTGATTTATATCAATTGCAATATTAATGTTGTTGATTGGTTTGAACCATTTTTGTGAGCTTTGTTTATCAAATTTTATTGAGTGCATTTTAATATTTAAAAGTTTTTTATTTTTTATTTTGGTAAATATTAATATTATTAAAAATATTTTTTATAATTGAAAACGAGATGTATTTTTTTAATCGATAAGTTATAGAAAGACTCAATATTATTATTTTTTCTTCAAAACATGTTGAGATTTTTGATATAAGAATTTGAAAGTTTATGCCTTTTAAAATTTTGGATATTTTTCCTTCTATCCTTCTTAAGTATTTTTTTTCTATTCTAATATATATATATATATATATATATATATATATATATATATTTATATATATTTATATTCTTCATGCACTTATTATTGCCATGTGAATTTTTTCTTTAACATCCATAAAATCCATTGTCAAAATGCTTACAATTCAATATCAAAAAAATTCTACATCAAACTTACACTAAGGATTAAAAAACTGATTATTTGCATTCCTCACACATCTTTTTCTGTTCGCTTCTTTTTTATTCTTCTTTTTTTGAAGACATTTAGTATTTAATGAGAATAACCTACTTATTAATTTAGAAGTTAGACAATGATGAGAAAAACAGATTAACAGGAGAATTTGCATTGATTATATATTTTCTTCAGAAAAGAATAAATTCTAAATATGTACAAGAGCCATTAATTTATTCAGATAGCAAATATTAAACTTATGTCATTGTCAAACACAATTATAATCTGCAAGCAAATGCAATTTTTTAAACTTTGATTAATATTCTTTATTTTTTTCTACGGCTGTAAACAAGGAAATGAGGTGTACTAAAATACTGTAAAATTTGATCTTAAATAAGTATCAGAAAATATAAAATATGAGTTGAGTACTTATTTCATATTTAATGAAGAATAAAAACACATTATTATGACTTATTCAAATGATTATTTATGTATATCTCTATATATCTACACATAAAACCATTTATTAAAAATAAAACATTGAAACTTTATTAATTTTGATTCATTGATCCTCTGTGGTGTAAATATATTGACATACTTTTAATTTAAAATTCCACACCTTGTATGAATTTTGTTTTACAGTAAATGATAATAATGTAACTACTACAGTTGAAGTTTTAAATTATGAAATAATTAAATTCTAATTGCAATCATATTATGAATATCTTGTATAAATTTTTATTGATTACACTTACTAGATATTTATAACATTTACACAAGTTAATGTTAAAAAATAATATAAAACAAAACCTGACATTCAAAAAGAAAATTGTACTCTGTTTGTTGATATTAATAATTTGTATTAATTTGATAATTTTTCCATCATGGTTTTATAATAATTTTTATATTTTCCCATGTGGATTTATGGTTAGCATTGTTATACACTTATATCTATGATCTATTCAATTATATTTTTGTGATCCAGTTACTGTTATAAATTGACATATGCACTGTATTCCTTATTTGTTTGGCTTATTTTTTTGTAAGTCATTCATCATTTCAGATTGCCCATCTGATCATACGCTGTCCTTATTAAGTGTCATCTTACAGTTTTATTTAATAAACCATTTAATGTACAATGGTTTTTCAAATAAGAAGCAACCCCAATTAACATTGAACACATGTCATGCAGAATTAAAAGTTATATATAAATAATACAATCAGACTTTTTTTTTTTTTCTCATTGGGCCAAACACAAAGTGAATCCAATTTTGAATGAAGTACATCAAAAAAAGTAATCAATACATCAACAATGCGTATTTCATCAAATTTTCTATATGTGGATAGATAAGATTCTCAATACAATTTCAATCCCAAAACTTATACCATATTTATTTTGAAATAGTTTCATAAATTAATACATTGTCGTACAGGCTGAAAAACATGTCTTATTTTATTAGGAAACATGTTTAAACATTTTAGTTAAACTTTCATGCCAACTTGTACAGCTGAAGGTGGACCTACATACGTACATACATATGGTAGATTCACAAAAATACGACAATGTAATTACACTAATGAATTCAAAAGTTTACAAATTTTCACCATAAAGGTACAATGTTTACATTAACATAAAATAAATGAATGTTGGTAACACATTGGTTGATCTAAAACAATAGAACAAATCTATATGGAAAATTTAGATAAAAAAAGAAAATCACCAAAGTCGGTTTTATTTGACAATCCCAGACAATAAATCCTGCGAAAATTTAGTATTTCAAGAACATGTGTCATTTCTAAAATAATCGTAACAACAAAAAACTAATTGATTTTTATCATATTATTTTATTTTTGAGCATTACAACACTGAGTTTTTTTTTTTTTTTTTTTTTTTTTTTTTCCCGGCGATTAAAAAATAAAACTAAAAAACTAAACCTCTGTTGCAATTTTTTTCAACAAGAGGTACAGTGTAAACCGCAGGTTTGAAGAAAATCTCGACATGTGAACAAAGCAATCAGTCAATAGTGAAAAGGGGTTTTCTCCACATGGAGCCACATGACTTCCTGAAAACGGAGTGCCTCGAATTAGGGTTAGGGTTTAGGGCTTGGGCTTGGCACCTTGTGTCGTCGCAGCGTCGAGCAGCTCTGGCGCTGCCTTTGTTTCATGGGAAAGTTGGCTTTCGCGGTTGAATTTGGACTAGGTTTTGTGTGTGTGTGTCTCCCTGAATCGAGAGACGCAAAATCTCCCATTGTCGAGAGACGCTACTGTGGCACCGTTGGAAGGGGATGAGTTTCAGCGGGAGAGGGAGCGCATGTTGCGGTTTTTTCCTTTGAATTGCATCAGGGTTTTAAGCGGGGTTTAGGATTCAAAATGAATAAGGACTTTGTGTTTGAGCTTGAAGGCGGAGAGAATGCGGTGAAGAATGTGGCGGTTCAGTCACCGTGGGAGTTCTCGAGTTACACTGCGGATGAAAATGGACATGGTACTGAGTGGAAGGTTAATACCATCGACCAGAAAATTTCGCAAGTCAGGTCTAGTATGAATGGTTACAAGAGAGGACTGGGTAGTGAGAGTGAGGATGAAGAGGACGAAGACGCAGAGGATGATGATAATGGCGAGGTAGAGAATGTGGACATGGAGGGTGATAGCGACGAGGGAGAAAGTGGTGACGACGACAGTGATGAAGTTGATGAGGAAGACAATGTGGACGGAGAGGAAGAGGTCGACGAGCCAGCTGTGAGTTCCGAATGAATTTGAATTTTTCTATGAGTTTCCTTCGGCAATACGCAGTTTGCAGTCACTCAATAGACTTAGCGTGCTTGAACATGGGAGCGCTAAATTGTGTCAAAGGGAGCCTTGCTGCAAGGTTTCATGCGTGTTATCCACTGTGAATTTCTACTTAACTCGCATTGCTTTTTTGAACAGTCTGAGGTTAGTGATGAGAGTGAAGGTGAAGAAGGTGACGAGAGTGAGGATGAAGAAGATGACGATGACGAAGACGATATTGACGAGAGAATTGAAGAGCTCCCCAAGAAGAAATCAAAACTGCCCAAAGTTCATGTGGAAGATGTACACAGTCCAGGGGAGGGTAAGGAAGCAAGTAGCTTTTTCTCTTCTTCGGCAGGTGCCTCATTTAGTGCAAAATCTTTTGGAGAGCTTAACCTGTCTAGGCCTCTGATTCGTGCTTGCGAAACCCTAGGCTACAGAGAGCCCACTCCAATTCAGGTAATTTGATATTGGATTCTACTCATCCGTTTTCAGTTTTTCTTTCCAACTTGTTTGCCAGTGTACATGTTGATTCTCATCAGAGTCGTCAGGATTTACAGTGTTTCTTGTGTTCTGAACTTGGCTACGGTTGTTGCAGGCTGCTTGCATACCTTTGGCTTTGACGGGGCGTGATATCTGTGGTAGTGCAGTTACAGGATCTGGCAAAGTGAGTTGCTAACCGTATAATCGAAATTATCGTCCATTTGGTTGTAACTCTTTGAACACAAGCGATTTTAAAATTATTCACATGACTCTAATGGCCATTTTTCAGACTGGAGCTTTTGCTTTACCTATGTTGGAGCGGTTGCTGTATCGTCCACGTCGTATTCCTGCCATTCGATGTTTGATTTTGACTCCCACTAGGGAGCTCGCAGTTCAGTATGTTATTTTCTTTTCTTGCTCTTCTGTCGCGCTTTTTATGCTTTTATTGTCGAATGTGTGGTCACTCTATATGATTCCATAAATTCATTTATGTTTTCATTGTCTTCGATGTACACTCCGCCCTCTCGATGTCGCAAATACTCTCTGTGGTCGTGTGCAACATAATAATAGGAACCAGCTAACAATCTGTCTCGTGCTCTCAGGGTGCACAGTATGGTGCAAAAATTAGCTCAATTTACTGATGTTACTTCCGCCATTGTTGTCGGTGGCCTGTCGTCGAAGGTGTGTGCTGAGTTGTGGACTCTAGAAACTTGGTTAAAGATCTTAATTACTTGTCGCTTGTCGCTTTTGCTGGATCGTTACAGTCCTAGTTGTCATTGTCACATTTTAAAGTAGAACCAACCTCGTTGTTGATGTCAGTGTTTTAGTGAAGATTTTTGGGGTTAGTGAATGAATCTCCTTTCCCGTGCATTTGATGTTTTGATTAGGAATACAGAACGTGTTCATGCTGTTCTAGTGTTTGAGTTGTGTGAGGTTTAGGGTTTAGGGTTGCATTCACCCTTTTTGTTTTAAAGCATCGGATGCCTATAGTAGCCATAGCTGAAACATTTTTGTACCTGTCAAGATTTCATATCATTTTTGCCTTTCTAATGTATATTTGATTTGGAATTTTCCTTCGTTGTCACTTCTGGTTACTGCAGGTGCAAGAGGTTGCCCTGAGGGCTCGACCAGATATTGTGGTGGCTACACCTGGACGGATGTTGGATCATTTGCAAAATTCTCTTTCTGTGGGATTGGAGGATCTCTCTATTCTTGTACTGGATGAGGCTGATCGTCTTCTTGAGCTCGGTTTTACTCAAGAAGTTCATGAATTGGTACGCATTCTTGTACATAGCTGTTTTTAGAATATTACCTATCGCTGTTGGGTTGCCCATGATGTGCTTTCACCTACTTGATGAGGAGCATGATTGTCTTTTTGATTTTCTCCTTTGCCTTTTCTTGTCCATCATCTGATGCAATCTCGTTCTACATTCTTCAGGTACGCCAATGTCCAAAAAGAAGGCAAACTATGTTATTTTCTGCAACAATGACAGAGGAGGTGTCTAATCTCATCAATCTGTCACTTAATAGTCCTGTACGCCTCTCAGCTGATCCATCTACCAAGAGACCTGTATCTTTATCTGAAGAGTATACACCTCAACCTATCGTGCTTGTGTGAATCTTGGAAGTCGTTTTGATTGTTTATTTTAGCATCAATGACCTTTCCTACCAAGAGTCCTTTCAATGCCTTCGAGCATTAGAATATTTTTGGATGCATCTTTTCAAATTGCTTGAATGTTTCTTAATCTCGGAAAGCCCTTTTGTTAGGATATACCTGATGCATGTCTTTCTGCATTTCAGAGTGGTGAAGATTCGGCCCGCTCTTGAGAATGATAAAGAGGCTGTTTTGCTGGCTCTGTGTACTCGAACGTTTAAAGAAAAAGTTATAATTTTCAGGTTTGTGGCTCCATTCGACTATCCTGAATCAGCACAATTCGTTTTCGGATATTTTTGTGGGTATCGTCATGCTGTTTTATCTTTGCAGCTTATTTCAACTCATTTGGGAGATAAATTCTATTAGATTTCGTATTTGAAATTGTAGATGTGCTTGGAGCATGTATAGATTGGTGTCCTTGTTAGATACATGGTGGAGGTATTAACACTTACGTGCATCATGTATGAGTAGTGGAATGAAGGTAGAAGCGCACCGGTTGAAGATATTATTTGGCCTAGCTGGCTTGAAAGCAGCTGAACTACATGGAAATCTCACCCAAGCTATGCGACTTGATGTAAGTCGCTTAGCTACTGGTTTAACTTTCACTTGAAGCAGTTTTATGGGAAAGTTTAGGTACTGAATGGCTGTACATTTTAATAGTAATGTTTTGTGGCAGAAATTTCACTCATCTGATCTTAGGCCATTCCAATTGAATGTAGCATAGACTTTTTCTCCTTTTCTTGCCCACGTCTCGTTTCTTGGGAACTTTACGATTGAAGTGTCGTCTTCTTTTGAAATTGTGTTGTAGTATTATGTTTTCCTAACTAAGACTTTATTTTTTGTTATCATTATGGTTTGTGCTGCTAGGCTTTGGAGAGCTTCAGGAAGCAAGAAGTAGATTTCCTAATCGCTACAGATGTTGCTGCTCGTGTAAGTGTTTGTGTAATTTGATTGTTTATTTCGAAATTTCAGTAGGTTATGCATTTCATCAATATTTTTGGAGCGTTTTCTATTTTTTTATATAATTCACCTGGGTATTCAGGGCCTTGACATTGTTGGAGTGGAGACCGTCATCAACTTTCATTGTCCGTCAGACATAACTGTGTGAGACATCAAGCCTTCACACATGGGCGAACGCTGCAAATATATACTATTCTATTGTTTGACTAAAACTTTGTGTAATGATGATGAACTACAGTTGGATTATTCCTATTACCCTGTCTATCACAGTTTCTTGTGAGCTGAATCTTTCTTGTAAGTTTTGGACCACAGTGGATTGTCAACTTTTACAATTGAGATATCTTGTTATTTAATTAGCATGACTTTGAACTCAAACCTGCTCTTGATGGCTTGCAGATACGTGCATAGAGTTGGTCGAACTGCCAGAGCTGGAAGGAAAGGATGTGCTGTCACATTTGTTACAGAACGGGAGCGCTCTTTACTAAAAGCGATTGTAAGGAATCACATGATGATCACAAATCTAGTCATTTTAGTCTAGAAGGTCTGTTTACAACGAAGATGATTATATATCTAACTTTTGTATTTGATTGTGATTGAATCGCTCAGGCCAAGAAGGCTGGCTCTCAACTACAAAATCGTCAGGTTGCTCCTACCTCTATTTACAATTGGAGATCCAAGATTGAGGAGATGGAAGATGGTGTGAGAGAGGTGATGCAAGCTGAACGGTACGTGTGTACATTTTTTCCACCATTTTTATGGCTTTTTTTCTTCCCTGCTTAGTGGTTTTTGTGTATTATTTGGTTTCGGTGAGATTGTTTGCTATTTCATGTACGTTGGACTTTCGTTAAATTCACGTTCCTATCATAAGCTGAATATGAAGGATTAATTCCTTATCTGTGCGTCGTAGGTTGTGGTTCTAATCGACTGCCTTCTAACGTTGAGTCAGTTTGTCTGGCTTTTCTGGACTGTTTAGATTTACATATGTTTCATTTCTCGTGGTGCAGGGAGGAAAAGGCTCTTAGAAAAGCAGAGATGGAAGTCAATAAGGTGTTTCCTTTTGTAACTTTTTTGTTATACTGTAAGCATTAGCTGCATACTGCCGAGGCTTCAGTTCTTGAACAACTTTTTGTGCCTTACCACTTCCTTACTGTAGCTTGTCGAATTTTTTAACGAATGTTCAGGCGCAAAATATGATGGACCACGAGAAGGAGATATTTTCCCGACCTAAACGAGAGTGGTTCTTATCTACTAAGGAAAAGAAGACAACCATAGCCGCCGCCAAAGTAAGACTATCCGGTTCACGAAGTTCCGTCATGATGATTTATCTACCAGAAAACGTTTTTTTTTTTTTTTTTTTTTTTTTTTTTTTTTTTTTTGTCTAAATGACATTTTTGTCTCGCACCATTGACTGGTAGTATCGTTTTGAAGGAGATCTCAACCTTAATGAGTTTTGACGTTGTCGTAGAATATGACTGTTTTTAAAGTATGAATGAGTATTCTTACCTGACAAGTATGATCAAGTAATTCATCCATTATGGGTTTTATTCTTGATTGAAACTGAATGGGTGCTTGCTCTTGCAGGCAAGAAAAGAGGGTAAAGGAGAAAAGGCTCCTGCAGCGATGATTAGTGTAGAGGAAGCGGATGAGGCAAAACGTAAAGACAAGCGGAAACGAGATAGGGAGGTATGTATTTGTAGTGATTTGAATAAAATTGGAAAACATCTCACTTGGACTAGGTTTGTTCCTCTGTGTCTGCGTAATTAAGGTGCTGCTTGTTCACTAGATTGTCTGGATCGAGGCGGTGCAAGAATCCTTTCCTGAGCTGCTCTCTTAATTATAAGAAGCTGCTAAATAACTTCTCGTCGCATCGTTTATTTGGCTAGAATGCTAAGAATCTAGCCATTCTTTACTTATTTTTGACTTCGTTACTGTCCCTATCTTAGAAAAACATGACCCGAAAGCAACGAAGGAAGTTGGAGGCAGAGCGTGAGGATGCTGAAGATGCGGATGATGGGCCCGATTCTGACGCAGATGTAGAGGTGTTTATATTTTTGGCAACCTTCTACCTTGTCAAGAATTGCTTGCACCATAAAGCTGGCTGTTGTAATTTCTTTCGGGCTCTCCATTGATGGAGATGGAGCTCTACATGTTTCATCTTTTATTGATTTCTTGGTGATGTTGAATTCCAGATGAAAACAATGAAGGGTAAGAAGGGAAAATCTTCGGAGGAAAAGGGTGGCAAGACGTCACTCGTAGATCTCGCATATCGTCGTGCTAAGGCAGCTAAATCAGTTGATAGGCTGGTGAAGGCTGGGAAGATTGGTCCTCAAAAGAAACTCAAGGGTTCAAAAACAACTGATCAAAAAACCAAAAGCAGGAAAGCTGAGGTTGAAGAATTGTTTGAAAGTGATTTTGGTGATGATAAGCGGAAGAAAGGCAAAAAGGAGTTTCAGCCTAAAAAGCCAACAAGGAAGCCTGGAGTTTCAAAAAGATCGTTCAAGAGTAAATCAAGGTATTGCACTTAGGCAGTACCTTCTTAGTCGAAGCCCATTCTTTTCCTGTGCATTTTTTTCTTAAGTTTGTCCATTTTACAGCAAAAATATTTTCCTGCATTTAAGCTGCTCTGTGAACACTGCGTTATTCTAAAATTAAGATCCGTGGATGCCAGGTACAAACGCAGGAAATAGAATTTTGTAGATGGGATTTCAAGCTGGAAGCATTTCTGCAGTCATTGGTAGCTATCAATCAATGTGTGGTAACCCATTCAATTCACCTGCGATAGAAAAACCATTGGGGTCGGTTATTAACACTCCGTGGAAGACCCCTGGTAGTGCGCTGGTGGGGTTTCGTGGGATTTCTTGAAGACTATACGTTATAACCATATGATGTTAAAATCTTAAATTGAATTAGCATTGACTGTTTGACATGTGAACTTACATGTACCGACTCTGTCTGCACGTTAAGTGCGGATTTCAGAATTGGATTTGTCGCAATCTAATTTAGCGACTTCTGTATTACATCTCCTGGATAGCAGGATGGAAGGGTATCAGTACATGAGGAAAAGGCAGTGCATGACTCTGACGAGTTAGATGTACTTTGTAGAGCTATGCTTATGCCTAGCTTACTTCTGGCAAAAGTATGTATGGCGAAAGATGAACTAGCATTTTTTTTAACTTCATCTTGGAAGTCTTAGTGAGGAAATATGTGGGTTGGAAAACTCAAGTTTTGGAGCAACTCTAGGTGCAAGGAGAGTAGTACTCTTTCGTATGAAGTATTTTGTCCTTTCTTCGGAAAACATGTCTGTTTTTTCAAGATTTTCTCTTAGTGCATGTGGAATAATGAGATGTCAATAGAGCCACTCCATTCCGGAAAACTTTATGCGACAGCACAATTCTCATAAGAATAATTCTGAGAAAGGTATTATTCTCTGAATGTTCGCAAATTCACAACTCGCTGACATGAGGCAATGACGCAATCGAAAGGTTCTCGCTTTTCGCATAAATATGTATGTCACAAGTTGCAATTATGACCAAAGAGTAGACAAGTTGTTATGTAAATTTGGTAGATGTTGCAACTTGTGTCATCAGTCATTGAGCTGCAAATTGATTTGATAATGGAGATTGTTTGTATAGTCACTTAATAAAAGACATTGCTTTAAATAGATTCAGTGTTTGTTTTGTGTGCATCCATATAATATAAACGTTATTTTATTTTATTTTATTTTTTATGTGCTTATCTACCTATGGGTTTACTTTCAAATTTTTATTATAACTTTTAGTCAATGTTTGTCTTGTTAAGTGTCAATAAATAAGATAAGTAGTAAGAGATCCAACATCTAAGTCTAAGGTTGTTGTGATGATAGTTTAAGATATTTTAAAAAATCAGCTCCTTACAATGTTTGATTTCTACATCCCAACATGCTTTTAAGGTTCCATAAAGGGAATTCAGACTTAAGTTTTTGGGAAACCAAATATCACAGATCACTTGAAAAATCACCTCCCAAAATATCACCGTACAATCTTTATTACCCCTTGATATTATCCCCTGATTCAAACTTTATTATCCCCTTGGTATGGAGTCAAAGAGGGGGAGAGTTAAAGCAAGGGAGGCAATTTTTGATATTTCACCAGCCCCTCTTTTGATAATTGGATCTAAAAGTACTTATAAAGATTACAAAGATTGTAATCAAACAATAAAACAAATTTAAAATGCAAAACTTTTAAGAAACAAATTTGAAACAAAGTACAACAATAAACAATAAAGTATGGCAACAAAATACAATTGGATGTTTTTTTTTAATTACCTTTAATTAAAATTTATAATTTTAAGTAATAAAGTACATTGTCTATAAGCTTTAAAATCTTACTTATATAAAAAATTTGATATATATTTTTCTGATTTTTTATTTTTTATATTTTTTTTAATTAAAATAATTAAAAGAGAACATTTGTCAATATTTCGAGTACTTTTAAAATGTCAAGTAGTATATTGAATATCAATCAAGGGTTCTAAATAGATTCCGAAAAATGTTATTGTAACTTAAGTAAATATTCATTTTAAATCTTATGTTTGATCTAATTTTATTTAATTCGTTGTTTGAGTAGGTTTTGATAACATTGTGTAGGCATTGAAGAACATAAAAACATAATTGGTAGCTAATCTATATGGATTTTTAAAAAATATCCACAAGTTTTTAATATAAAAATTTAATGGCTGTTTTTATTGTATAATAAAGCTAAATTATAAAAGTAGTACTGTGAAATATTATATGTATATTTAAAAAATAAAGTTATTTTAAATATTATATATGTGAGTATTTTAAATACTATTTTTAATTATTAATTTTACATATTAGATATTATCATCATAATTTAATTTTTTCTCATTCAAATATTGATATTAAAAAATCTCAATTTTTTTATATATATTTTTAAATGCAAAAAATTTATTTTTGAAAAAAACATTTAGCTCATGTTTTTGTATTCTATGTAATTTAGAAAAGTCATCAAGACGTTAGATGTGTAATTAGAGAAAAATCTATATGTATCAAAAACTAATGTAGTTTTAAAGAAATATTAGATCTAATAAAAGAAAACAAGAATGTTAGTGTAAATTTTATTAATACTTCTAAAAGAAACAAATTTTAATAATTATGATATTAAGGCTTTTAAAAGCAAGGATTGAGCTTATTTTTCTCTTGGAATTAGAAAAAAAATATTAATAAAGATTTTATGATTTTTATAGGTTCTTACATATTATCTCAAAAATTAAATACAAAAAAGTCTTAGGGGCCATTGTAAGTCATTAAAACAAGATTTTTAGGTATTCTAGCTTAAAATACTATTCTGAATTATAAATATGTTTAAGCACTATGATAAAGTTAGATTCAAAAAAAAAATCTAATAAACAATTATTAAAATTTTAAATCTAGAAATAACTTGGATTTAATTATCAAATAAGAGTTGTGGTTATGTTTTTGTTGGTATAATAACTAGATTCTTAAGTCTATTTTGAATAACATTTACTTTTAATTGTACTTTTTAAGATTTACAACTAAAAAACAATTACTATAAATTATTATTCCTGGTAATGTTGATGTACTTAAAAAACAACTTTTATTACTCAAAATTTTATTATGGTTTAAATTAAAATTAGCATGTAATTATTTTTAATTGTTTTTATAAATATTCTAATCTAAGTATGAATAAAATATATATTAAAAAAACTTTGGTAAAACATATCTTAAAAAAATTCAAAATTCAATTTAAAAAATATCAATATGTAGTTTTAAAATTTTAATATTTGATAAAAATATTTTATAATATATAATTTACAAGGTTTTATCTTCTTTAATAATAAGAGAATATTTGATACTTTATTTTATCTAGATCTTAAAATATTTTGTATAAGAATTAATTACAAAAAAAAATTAGATTTAAGTTTTAAATTTAGAATTAGCAATTGTGTTGTTTAGTGATTGTATATGTATTATTCATTTTTTAAAATTCTTCTTGTGGCTTTAGAATTTAGTTATAACATCTTAATTTTTAAATTTAAAAAAATGGTTTTGAGTATTAAACTAATCTTACAAAGTTTACTATTATTATTTTGAAAACATGTAAATAGATTTATCTATTTTCTTTCAAACAATTTCTTCTAAAGATTTAGTGAACAAGTCTTTCATTATTGTCATAACTTGCAGATAAAACTTCCTTGAACTTAAGATATTCTTAAAGAGTTTTTTGATAAAATCTACAAAATATATACTAGTTAAGATTTTAGAAAAGCTAGAAAAGAACATCAATAATTATATAATAAACATATTCCTATTATAATATATGTTATTATTCACTATATAATCAAATATAATTCCATATGTTACATATTCTACACAACAAATGATATTATGTATAAATTTATATAAAACAAGTTTAATCTTTATTTTAATAAAACATCATTACTTTAACAATCATTTTTTTTATTTTTTTATTTTTTTATTTTTATCATTACATTATTATGCAAGATTGAAAAAATCACTAATTCAAATAATAAAATTTTATATTAATTTAATCCTATAATCAATTATTTTATATTTATTTACACTACTTATATATTTAAGCATATATTTTGTTTATAATATATATATATATATATATATATATATATTTTATTCTTATTGATAAAAAGAAAAAGTATAATAAACAAGTAAAAGAAGGAAAAGAATTGAGATCTATAACACACACACACACACATACATACATATATATATATATATATATATATACATATATATAAATCTTATTTAAAAGTATTGCTAGTAAAAAGATAGATAGAAACTAGGTTAAATAGCAGAACTATTATTAATAAGAAATAATTAATTTTAATTATAAAAATATATTAGATTTAATCCTATTAAAAAAACCTAACATGCAATAATGATTGCAAAATAGACATGTAATTCAAGTAGATATCATTGGCTTATCCAAAACTCTAATTTTAACAAAAAAATGATGATTATTAAATAAATGAATACTTATTTTTTGCATAATAATTTTAATCAAATAAATTAAAATTATTTTTTTGTTGCATCTATACAAGTAATTATAGCAATGTTTAAGGCATTATAAGTAAAAGAGTAATTAAACCCATAAAAAATAAAATCTATAATCTATAAAAATATCTAAAATTAATTCTTAATATGAAAAAATAAGGTTTTTATACAAGCCAATAAAAAAATTAAAATTTTATCCTTGAGATATTTCTTTTTATAAAATATCTAAAATAAATATATGTTTTACTAGTATTACTAATATTTTTTTAATTTTTTGGTATTTTAATTTATTTGTGAATGATTTTTTATAAGAATTTTTTTAACTTAATATTATTTTAATTAATATTTTTATTTAAGAAAATAAATTATATATTTTAATGCAAGTTATAGAACTATTTATTTTTTTAGTTAGTTAAAGTTATAATGATAATATAGATAGTTTTAAATTTTAAATAGATTATTTATTTTGATTCTAATATTTAAAATTTTAGAATCAATTTTTATTTAATACTTTCTAAAATTTTATAATTTTTTTAAAAATATACTAAATAAAATCTTAGAATATTATGTATTTCTAAAAACTCATATTAATTTTAGAATAATAATTTTATATTTATTTTATAACTTGGATTTTACTTAGATATAATTTAAATATTAGATTTTAATAATTATTTGTGATTTGTGCAATTGAGTATTGCAATCTTTGGCACATCCATCAATTCCCTCATTTCCATGTTCTCTCATTCTTGTTATTCCAACGTTCTTCAAGTTCCTTACATTCTCTTCTTCACGGCCAATCAAAAGACTTCATTGTCTCTTTATGTTATACCAAAGTTTTCTTGTATAATAGATAAATATATAATCTTTGATAAAATTATTTACATACTAGTATGTTAAAAATGTCACCTACAAAGTGAAATTTGGACCTAATCATTATTAGCATACTTAGTTCTAAATTTCAACACAAAAGAGCATGCAACAAAGACTTTGGCATGATTGAGATAAATAAGATCCTTACCACTCTTGTTAAAGTCCATTTCCAATAAAAGATAAACAGCTGCAATGAGGAAATCTGAATCTACTCAAATTTTTCATTTGTATAAGCAACACGACAAATATTCATCCTCCATAACTTCGAGTTTAGGAAAATATTTCTCCGAAACCCATACGTACACTTGCATGCATACACATATTCTAACACACGCACAAAGAGAAACATAAAAGAAGTTCAAATGTAAGGCAAAACACCACTTGTATGTACATATCACGTAAGTATGTAGAGAGGCAGAGCAAGGCCACGGAAGAAGAAGCAACACAAGGGATAAAGCAAGCAGAGCTCAGCCCAGAAGGGAGAGACGCACCGTGGCCCAAGTGGGATGGTCCATTCCTCCCCATCCATCGACGCTGCTTAGGACCCAGCAAAGCAACTTTCGGTTGGTTTGTCGCGGAATCTGCATCCGGGTTTAGCTGAATTCTCGGCGAGTCCTCCCCGACGATGGATGAGCTGATTGCCGTGCTCACATGGCTGCATCTCGCCACAGATTCCCATTCACTCCCTTCCTGGTATGTGAGCTCGTGTAAGTTCCAGCCTTGCGTTATGGCGGTATGCATTGCTCAGCTTGCCTCATCTGCTGCATGAAAGAGTGCTCCTTGGGTGATCTAATCACCACGCCCCCTGAAATAGGCTCTCTGGTCTGGCTCTGCCTGATTCACTGTCTGCGTGTTCTGTGCACCGTTTTCACAAATTTTGTGCAAATGGAATATGTGGGAGACTTATATATATATATATATATATATATTTCAGTAGACTACTCGGTGGAAGTGCGCTGTCGGAGCTGATAAAAGAGTTCGGAGGTCGAGTCTGAAGCATGCTCCACGCTTATGCAGTTGCAGCGTCTTCGGACATAGAGCGCATCCGTGGCCAATTGACCTGGACGCTGAAACCGTTTCAGCAGCTATCCGTCTTCGGTAGGCTTAAGGTCGATGTCGTAGTCATACAACGTGCAAGGGTTGCTGGATGAGGATGCATATCCCGTAACTTGGCTTGCAATAGTTCACGGTTGAAATGTGGCTGTGGTCTGTGGCTGACAGCAACAGAAACTCAGTTCTCCTTGCTGGAGGTGCAAGCACCAGCAACTGGTCCTGCTTCCTTATTACTCAAAGCACACTGTCTAAGCAATGAACTCTAGCTGTACTGACCGTGTAGGAGCAAAGTTCAGAATCGTCTCTCAGTAGAAGGTGTACACTAGCTTGTTAAAGATTTTCACTACTATCAGATAGTCTATCCGACACCAGCTGTGTCTAAGCTCTGCAAACATTCAGCAAATACTATACACGTGAACGGAATCCTAGCAGCAGATTTTCTGTCAGCTTCATATCGTAAGAAATCGTACCTTGTGATACACCCCTTTATTCGTGCCACAGGACAGTTGCGTCTGACTACGAGGTCCAGAAAATGATCTAAGAGTTGTCATAGGCGAGGTGTTCCTACAATCTTGACACAGTGAAATCAGGCATAGTTTCTCTGCAAATGCATTGTCGGTTGGGGGCCTTGATAGACTTGTCTGCAAGGGGATATGTCTGCAACTCTGATGAAATCCATTGTATCTTGTTCAGTGAAAAGCGTTCGCGGTGCCAATGCAATGTATCGAGCGTAAATCACCTGAAACGAGAATGAAAACCATGGCTTATAGATTCCAGTGATCACTGGTCAATGCACTGGAGCTAGTGTAAAAAAAGTACGCTTTTTGACGAGGCAATGCACTGCACTACCCCGGACAGTAGTTCACGTACTCTTGCCGCAAATTTATGACGTATTGATTGAGTTTAAGCCACCCAAGATCTCTCTGTCGAAAGGACCGCTAACACAAATGGAAATTTCTTGGTACACCAATCATTTGGAACAATGGAAAGCCTATCTAACCCATTTTAAGCCAAAAACAGAATGGACACCTCAATGCACATACTAGTATAAATAGGCTTTACTGATCATGAGTTGCAAAAATGCAGTTTCGTTATAAAACCTTAAGTAAAATCAAGTCTGCTTGAAGTTACGTTTAGTCTATCCTGGACATATATATCATACGATATATATATATATATATATATATATATCTATATGCAAAACCCTCAATATGCACATGGGTACTCTCATGCTGCACTTAGATTCAGCGTCTCGCACAGACGATCCGAAACCACAAGTCTGCTTGAAACTTGACAGGTGCTATCCTTCACTTGTACATGAGGACAATGTAAGTTGTACATGTATTCAATGACCATCAGACACACATGTTCAAAGACTGTTGAGCTTCCGAATGGCTTAATTGCCTTCAAAGGCTGCAATACCTCAATTTCTCCGATCCTGTTCAAATGGTTGCATTACTGTCCAGAAACGATGTAAAGAAAAACTTTTTGGCCGTAGACTTTTTCTGGTGGAAGTATCATAATCCCAAGTTCATCCCAAGATAAAACGTGCTCATCTGTAGCATGTACGAACACAATAGTGTAATCGAATTGAAAACTATTTTATTACAAAAAGTATAATAATAAGCATGGTGGTCACCTCACGACCATATCTAAATCCACACATGCATTTCGAAACTCAAGGCAGAAATGCAGATATTATTTTGGCAATGCAAACCCGACGAGTAGAGCAATGTGAAACCATGTTCCTCATCTTGGTTGCAAAAGTCTTCTGTAACGTCATCTCCTGTGGAAACAACTTGATGCCGGCGTCAACAAGACAAATGAATTTGGGTTAGAATGTAAAAGCGTGGAGGAAAAAGTTCCCTGCATTGTGTTCAAATACTGTAATCCCCAACATGCATGTGGTATCTCCACTACTTTCAGATTAATGGAGTGAAGATATCCCTTAGAACGACTCAAAAGCTGCCGATAAGCATGTAGTACCTAATCTAGAGCAGATCTAGGAGCGAGCCAATGCAGTCCCAGATGGGACGTGCGCTACATGTTCCCTTGGCCAATCGGTAGGTGTACCCACAGGGGTCGAGAGGACCTGGTCAATTGGCATCTGCACCTGTTTGGAAGTGCTGACAGAAAGTGGTTCTCAATCGATGGGACCCGGATGAGGCAAGAGAAAGGTCTGTCTGGCTCCCTGGATGCCAGCTATGCAGCCTGGCAATCATTTTGACAAGCCCCGCAGGTGGCATACAGGGAGCCAGGCAGTCCAACTCCCCACCGTTCAACCATGAACCCCACTTCCAACGTCGCCTCATGGTCTCTCTTTGGATTCTTGCATTGAGATCGATACGCTCATGCACAAACAGAGGACATATTTCCTCATCCTCTCAGCTCCTGGAGTATAATGATACAGCATCGAAGCTAGTTCTCAGCTCGGCTTGACGCACATGCAATGCCGCCCAGCTTGCTTTGATCCTCCGTGTCTTGATGGGCAGTGTTAGCGTCACTGAAAGATCCAAGTGGGAAGTTATTTAGATCTCTGAGATATCAGTAAGAAGATATTACAAAGTAAGGTCATCTACGAATTCCTTGCAAGCCCCTCCAGAACAAGATGTGAACAAAGAGAACATCCCAAAGATGGAGTAGGTGCAATACTACACTAGACGTCACATGCAACTTGATGACGAACAAGGTTCTAGCGGATTCCCCAGCTGTATTGAAGCTGATTGTACATCACACGCACCGAAACCAATTGGCATTTCAACAAGCTCAAATGACTGCATCCGTCGACTGATGTAACTGTCAACTGAGCGAACGGGTTGCCTTCTCATGAAAGTTGATAGGATCTGAACAAGGCCACACTCGACCCTAAGTACAACATATGAACTTGATAACGTATCTACTATCCGCCGGATGCAACTGCTATAAATCGAATACAAATTACAAACTTTAAAGCGGTATGGGAAGCCTGGTACCATGACCAACATGGTGAACATAGAGAAAAGAAGTTCGCTGATAAGTTCAGCTTACGCTTTACATCAACTTCCCACGAAGAAGCGGTAGATGCGTCCGCATAAATTCGAAAGAGGTAGCTTTGGAGGTTTAGGGCTTATGAGGAATCAGTGTAGTTTGTCTTCTACACGCTTGAGTTCAGACGGTCAGACTGATCTAACGGATTCCGGCACACAGATTCTGCAATTCTTGAATACCAGCACATCCAACATTTTTTTAACCAGCTACGATGACCTTGGAGGTTACGCACTCCACAGAGTTTCGCTGAAGAATAATGACTTGGCCTTAAATGATGCGGATACACTCCACGATGGTCAGTGGGGACATTTTATTGGAGGCAAAGAGATGGATATATGACTTAGTCATTCTGCTCTGGCAAGGCAGGAGTTCTGTCGAACATGTAAATGTAACGTACACCCACTCAAGATGAGACATGAGACATGAGACATGAAGAAGCTCTCCGACACAGTGAACGAGGGTATTACGTAGTTCACCACAGAAGTTCTCGACACCACCCAAAGAGAGAGAGGGAGAGAGAGGCGGGGGAGCGAGAGACATCATAGCTGTATGTTGGTGCAAATCACAGGATCTAGTGATAACGAAAATACTACAAGACGGGCTCTTAAGTCACTGCCATACACGTACAATAGCAATTATGGATGCTCAGTACAATCATATACTACTTAACATTTGAGGTAATGTACTGGGATTGCATTCATCTGTCACACAACATGAGACATGAGTAAGTTCAAACCTTCGTCTCTAGGAAAAGGATGCATATCCAGAAAGTGGAGATTTAGAGGTACAGATGCATCTACAAAAAATCTAGTGCACTATACGGAAGCCATGTGAGAGTGTGATTAGAGTAACTATGCTTAAGCCACTGCTTCGAGAGAGCTCTCACATGGAGAGTATGAGATTAGAAACTGGAGGAAAGAGTTGACTGGATCAAACCTTCTTTTTCAAGAGAATATCGTGCCATGTGCTAGGATCACTTACTTGGAAGCACAACATTGTATACGGTAAGACTCACATCCATTTCAGACTACTCTTAATTACGATTGGTTTTGACCAGAGCTGAGCACCGGGACCCGATTCGGCTTTGAAAGCGTTCCACTTATTCGGTGAACCATTAAGGAGCTGTAGACCATGACTCATGAAAGCTCGATTTGTCAATGCTCTGAGGTGGCAAGGACAACTTCCGCTTGGTCGCAGCTAGCCTCTAAGAGCTGCACACAGCAAGAAAACATGCCTTCAGCTGGGGCACCTCTGCAGACGCAAGATCCTGCGAACTGCTGAGTTTATACTAGAGTTGGCTTTGAACCACAAACACACAATAACAACAACAACAACAACAACAATTTTCCCGTCTCCCAGCTCAAACCTATCAACACTTACAAATTGCGGTTCAAGCAGCATCGGCGATAGGACGAAGACGACGATGACAATAACAATAACAAGCCTAACAGCCAGCCTCAAGCAATGTCAGCTTCGAGCAACCAACCCAACGCTTGAAGCAGGCGAGCACCCAACAACGAAGCGCAATAAGGTGAAGAAGAGGACGAAGAGAAGAGAGGTAAAGCTCGAAGGAGAATGGGAATGAAACGTAAAGGAATGAGAGAGCAGTGGATTGGAGTGAGATGCGGACGCATCGTATAAGTAGTTGCAGCATCGCATGAGGGAACATAGGCCGAGGAGGGCGGCCAGGAAGGCACCAGTTGTTGTACCCTTCTACTACATCGCCTACTCTACTGCTACTGCTACTACGACTACTACTACTACTACTCGTCGTCGTCGTCGTGGTCCTGGCTGCAGCAGAGGGAGTCTCAGAGCTAAAAGCATGCTTGCCCTGCAGGTGAAAGGGTGAAAGGGTGCAAACGTGCAAACAGGCAAGAGATCCCAAAGCACTCACTTCTGCATCGGGCTCATAACCACTACTACAACTCCGTCAGAGCCCCCCTTTGGCCTTGGCCAGGTGGAGAGCCGCGACCCAGGTGGGTGGGGTGGGGGGTGGGGCTCCAGACTAGTTGCACCCTGCTTGCTGCTCATGACGCGATCTCCTTTTGCTTTTCACGTCGGATCCTCGACTCATCAGCCGTTTTTGTTTGCTCCTTGCCCTTCCTTCTCCCTCCACAGCACAAAAACCTGTGCAGTTTTTTTCATTTAAAAATAAATCCATTAAATTCTTGTTACCTTAGTGTAGGGTGGAGGGGCAGCTTTCCGAATTCCTCTCGGATGCATATATTTATTACACCGGCGGAGACCGAGAATCAATGCAAGTCAAAGCCACTGAAGATCATAAGCCCATGATTCGATGGATTTTATTTAGAAAAATTCCGTTACTCATTTTGTCCCCCTAAATAAAGGGCGGATTGCAACTCCCGAGTCTCAACCTCCCCAAGCCTCCTGAGTTATCTCTCTTGTCCGCTAGCTCCCCTCCTCGACCTCTCCCTCATCAATCTCTAGCAAAAAAACTAAATAAGCAAATAATGTTAATAATAATCATACAAGCACTTATACTCATAAAATAATAGGACCAAGCTACAGGGCTGTGTCCCTCCTCAACATCAACGCTCATCAACTTCATAAACGGTTGACCCTTCCTGTTCTACCCCTTCAGTAGATTCTGCTGGAAAATTATCATGAAAAAAGAAAAAAGAATACAAAAAACACATTATATACAAATATATATATATATATATATATATATAATGAAAAGAGGCAGCAAGAAGGCTCACTTGGCCTGGAGGTTTTCATTGCAGGAATAGAAGCATAAGCAGTAAGTTAGAGGAGGAGGAGCCATGTGTGAGGTTGCTGGCAGCAGCATCATAGAGGTGCAACTAGGCTGGCATGGGAGTAAGCAATAGTGGTGAGGTCCCTGGTCTGGGCTGGTCTGGTTTGGTCTGGTCTGATCTGGAAGCAAGGTAGCAAGCAAGCAAGGCTTTGTCAGGAGTGTCCATGCACATGACTCTCTCTCTCTCTCTCTCTCTCTCTCTTTACTTGGGAGAGGAGAGGAGGGCCTTGGAGCTAGTGCCCTTACCCAGTCCAAAGGGTGCTTTGCTTCCATATCTTTATTCTTCATACACAACAAAAGATGAGCAGAGCAAATGGATACAAAATTAAACTCTCAAAACACACACATCCCCCCCCCCCCCCCCAACCCAGTTTCAATACAAGCAATGGGAGGGAGGCAGCTTCACTCTGCCCCCTATATTGTGAAGTCAAGTCAAGTGGCCTTTAGGCAATTTGCTCTTCCTTCCTTGATGATCTTACCCAGATTGTTTGCACTCTTCTCCACCTTTGGGTTTGGGTTCGGGTTTGGCTTCTTCATCTCCCTCAACCCCCATTTCCACATATATTTTGGTGGACCCCTCCTGACATGTCATGCTTACCTTTGTTTTGTCAATTTGTGCCACCAGTTTCTCCCATTTGCATGGACTTATCTGGATGAATGAAAAATGTTACTAATACAAAATACAACACTAAAAGGGAAAGTTAAGAAAGAAAGCATGAGAGAACCTTCATCCATGACCCCAATTCCATCGTATACCATTCAAATGCCTGCCCACTCCAACATCCAAGGCCTCCCTCCCCCCTATAGTAGAGTGCCCACCTGCCATTAAGATGCTTCTTGTTTACAAAATCTATTTGATCATATATAATTGATTAAATTATTGATATGTATTAAAAATAAAAAAATAAAGTAAAAAACACATGTGCATTTTTTTGGTTTTACAGCGTCACAAAAACTGTAATAAAATTTATCAGAAAAGAAATAATTTAAAATCCGTTACAGATTAAGCATAGAATGCTGTTGTATCACTACAATACTAACAACAACAAAAAATAAATAAAAAATAAAAATAAAAATCCGTAAGAGCTGCAAATCGGCTTTTTACTTATTTATTTTGGAATTAATTATAAATATTAAATAATAATAATAATTTTTTAATACTTTTAAATTATATATATATATATATATATGTAATTTGGTTTATTTTTTCTTCTAGAAGTAACCACTATAGTTTTGCAATTAGAACTTCTCTTATATATTTAAATGTATATATATATATATATATATATATATGTGTGTGTGTGTGTGTGTGTGTGTGTGTGTGTATTAATCAAAATTTAAGTATAAGATTTTGTATTGACTAATAATTAGGTTTCAAATTAGAGACTTATGCCATAAAGTACTCTAGTCAATAACATATAAAACCACAATAAAATTATATATATATATATATATATATATATATTTTACACTACAGTAGTTGCTTCTAGAAGAAATAAAACTAATACGTATATATATATATATATATATATATACATATATCAAATTTAGAGATGTAAAAATGAGTTGTAAAATAATATAACATGACACGAATAAAAGCTGGTTTGGTGTCTAATTTAGATCAAGGCAAGATCCTTTGTCACTTACTTTCAATTATTAGTAGAAGTTGAATGGATTGACCCTATTATATTGACATTCCATATTGTTGGGTTTAAAACCTAGATTTTGAATAACTTAGCGCAAAGATAGATCTAAGCTACAATGTGATCCTTCCACCTTTTAATAGAGAATGGTTACAGCTGGTGCTGTGAAACTAAATATTATTGTCATTATAATTATTATCATATAGAAACACAATAAAAAGAAGGACGACAACGAGAAGCCTTGATTGGGGCCTCTGCACATCCATCTCCAAATCTCACTTCGACTGGACTGGCGCATATGAAGAAGAATTCATCCATACACGCCACATTCATCCGTAAACACATCCATAAAATACACATATTCATCCATTGGTCCATCCATTGACATCGGGCCGACTCCCTTGTCTGAATGGGTGCTGCTGCTCTGGACTTTTTGCTGTGGACTGGCTTGCTTTCGAGGAGGAGAGAGGGAGGGGCATGCACTGAATTCACTCACTCACTCACTCACACTCTCTCTCTCACTCACTCACTCTGGGCAGGAAAGCAAGCAGGCAAGCAGGGCAGGGCAGGTCGTAGCCACTGCTCTTCCGATCCCATGTTGGAACGCAGTCGATCCTCCGCAGCTGCCTTGCCTGTCAGGTCTGGATGGATCTTACCACCACCAGGACATGGCTGGAGCCGGCACACACACTCACACACAAACACAGACACTTGCTGATCTCCGATGCGATGCGATGCGATGCGCTCAGGAAGTATCTTCGTGCAGAAACCGAGCCAACCCCCCTTCCCAACGTGGTGTGCGGCGCCTCTTTCCTGCCCCGTGCTGGAACCACCCTAAGCTACCAGCACAGCACCAGGGGGATCCTGCCGCTCTACTGATGCTTCTATGCCCAGTTGGGCAGTGCAGGCACTTCTTCTCCACCGCGACACAGACGGGGGCTGCAGTTTGGCGTGTGGGTTGTGGCGCTGGATGTGTCAATGTGTAGCTGGAGGAGAAAGTTGGTAAGCAGGGATCAGGTGATGACCCCACCTGATGCACGTGGATGTTTTCTCCGTTGCTCCGTTGGTTTCCTGCCTTTCTTCCTCCCGCGTCTGGTCCTGCTTTAGGTCCTCCTCCTCCGGCATCATCCTCTTCTTCTACTTCTTCCTCCTCCTCATCCTCCTTCTCCGATGTCCGCCACTGTTACAGTGCTGGTTCCAGCTCGAACCCCTCTCCCACACGCAGTGTATCATGTCACTGCATTCCCAAGTTGGACGTTGCATGTTTCGTCCAACAAGTTTCACAGTCTCATGTTCACTTCACTCACCCTCAACAATCCAACAAACGAACCTAACCTTTGTTCCTCACTTCTTCATGAATAGTACTAAATGTTTTCGAAACCATGAAAAGGATACTTCAGTACGGTTCGTTGTCAACTAATCCTTGCGTATGCTTTCTTTTTTATTTTTATTTTATTTTAGACATTTTATTTTTCAAAACCGCATCATTGGATAAATTCATGTTTGAAGTAAAATTTTTGTAATGAAAAAGTTAAAGATGCACGAAGTTAAATCACATATAATATATATTTTTTTTAATCTAAAAGCTAAAACAAATATTAGAATGCATGGTTTATTTGCAAATTTATTTTGGATTTTTTTTTCTTATTTATTTAATAAATTTATTTTTATTTTTTGTTAAACTCTTGTTTAAAATCTACAAGTTCTTTTTACCAGTAAATAAACAAATAAATACACCTTAAAGGGATATTGATTTTGTTGATGATGCTATAGAGCAATTTAAGACTTTCTTTTACTTCTATCTGCATGTAATGTGTAACATAGTTTAAAATATGGAAATATTACGCCTTTTCAAAGGTATGTTCTTTATAAAAATCAAAACAGAATGTTACCTTTAATTATTGCTATCCTTTGTAACTTGGTATTGACATCTCAAAATAAGATATTCTTTAACATTTTGATTTGTATTGACACAAATTGTGTGTTGTAGTGTCTTAATTCTTTACTGTAATTCCACATTTATGACCTTTGACTTTGGGATGATTTATTTTTTGTCTTTACAATGTAATAAGGATTTCCTAAGAGAAAGTTTGTAATAATTTCCAATATATATGTATATATATATATATATATATATAATTATATCTATATTTAAAGAATTGTAAATGCTACATTTTCAATTGATATTGTTATACCCCATGTGACCTCCATACAACTAAAATTGACTAAAAAGTGCACTTCTATACTTAGGGCACCTTTGGCAGTCCAAAATTAATCCTAATATTGATCCAAAAATAGAATAAATCAAAAAATAAGTTTTTTGTATTATTGGTAGCTAAATAAATAAAGAAAAAATTAGAATTTTGAATTAAATAATTTTTGAAGAAAATATTATGTTTTCTCTAAAAAAAAATAGTTCACAGACTATTTTTCATAAATAATCATTCTCTTCTTCTCAACCACTATTCTTTTTTAAAGCAAAGAAAGAAAAAAAAATGTGCATAAGAAAGATGCATATTATTAGCTATTTGTCTACAAAGAGGTCACAAGGGATGAAGCAATATCAATTAGAGATGCAGA